AATCTTTGGAACGTTTGCAACATTTTTTGAGCAAGTGCAGTCCCAAGAACTGCCGAAAGAACCATAGGCAGATGGTTAACCATAGGCAGATGGTTAACCATAATGATCTTAAAATTATGCTAAATGCAATATGGGATGCATTCTATCAAAAATTTCTTTCTTGTCGATCTGAAATGATATTAAGGTCATCTGAATCACAATAGAAATGGTGGCATCCTCCGGGTCCTTAATAGAGGTATGCTAATTTCGAACTGATTGAAAAAAATCGATTAACTTCATTGAGAAATCGAACGCTGATTCGCTAAAAAAGAATGGTAGCTCTTTTAATGTTCACCCACCGAGAGCTGTTGTTGGAAGCCTGCCAGGAAAGTTCGATTCCTATTTTAGAGGTGAAAAGAATCTTTATCCTCCTGAGTTAAATGTGAGTTTAAGTTTTATCATTTCTTAACTCTTTGAACAATTTCTTATTCTAAAAAACTTTATTGTTAGTTCTATGTAGAAAGGAGAGCTAAGGAATCTCGAAACTACAGTTGAAAAAAATCAATATACGAAGTTAAAAGTTAGGTTGTGTCGATTCTTCAGATCCCCCTCCTCATTCTTTTCTTTCCCCCTTTCATACCATCCTCGCTCAGCGTTCTTGATTTACTTCCTCGTTTCCGATCTTACTCATCAAGGTTATTGTTAGTTATCGCTGAGCCATAAAAGAACTGATTTTCAGTTCAATTAGCAAACGACTCTCGCAGAAAAGTGGGTTTTATCCACCTATACTCCTTTTGAGAGTGAGTGAGAGAGAAATCCTTCAGGTTCCAAAGAAAGCCGTATTTCTTCATTCTTTTGATGAGATCCTTATTCAGGTAACATAAATTTTAATACACTCATCTATCTTTAACTGTCCCAAAAAATATATCGAGGCTAAGAAAATTCCGAATTTGAATTCAGCAACAGAAATTTTGCATACTTTCATTATTACAAAGAAAACTAAAATTTTGTAACTCTTTAATGCCAGTCACGAATTTTTGTTCAATAAAGCCCTTCTAAGTCCCCAAAATGCTGAACAGAGTTTCATAAGAAAGGATCTTGTTATCTGTAGTGTAGTTGAATTTTATTCCCATTTTAAAAAACAGGCCCATATAGCGAGCTTACTTCAGACATGATGTTAAATATCCCATAATCTTCTCCGACAGTAACATGAATTCTTTAGAAGTTTATTCAGGATATAGAATGAGGAAAGTTAATCCTTATATCATATTCACCAGATATAAAGTCATGCGATTTCAACTGTTTCAGCCACATGAAGAAGAAATTGTCTGACACTTGCCACGATAGCAAACATAAAAGTAGTACTGAAGTCATTTTTCACAGACTGAGTTCCACTGACCCTTACACAGCTGCTCTCTAATTGCCTTTACTTTGAGAGCCCGTTATTATTAATGAGAGGGATTACCGATTAATAGAGTAAACTATTCTAAAAAAACATTAGTTACTGATCATTAGAGTAAATATTATACATAAACTAAAATATTGTTTGCTATTAAATGAAATCTGATAGGTATTTACCAACTTTTAGAGAACGTGTTGTTTAACTTTCATTACAAAATACATCTACAACTTAACATATTATAAAATATATAAATTTATACTTTATTGACACATTTTTCAGATGTTGTTAAATTAAAAATATTGGTTTTAACTTCCTTGTACGAAGTAAAAAGGAAGTATTGTAATCGCGAAAAGTTTCAGGCAGCATATTTCAACGAAAATATCCATTTTGACCGCTATCGAATGCAATTTAACGATGTTTTTGCGTGATATCTATACGTAAGGACAGAATAAAATACTCTTTTCCTTCAAAAAAATTATAAAACTGCTTTAAAATTAATTCTGAAGAGAATTTTTCGTGGCGTCTGTACGAACGTACGTGCGTGCGTGCGTACGTACGTATCTCGCATAACTCAAAAACGAGTAGCCTCAGAACGTTGAAATTTTGTATATAGGACTGCTATAACATGTACATGTGCACCTCGTATTTTGGCTGCAATCCGCCGCACCAAACGTATATAAATATATTTATATATATATCCACTCTGTTACCCGGCTCAATGATCTCAGTTTCTTTACTCTTATATGTTTGTAAATTGTACATTTTTTTGCTTTAAAAATGATTGAATTATGTTGCTTTTATCTTCCGGTTAAGGTTTTTATGCCTTTAGTAAATCTCTATGCGATATTTTTAGAATTATCAACAATTTAAAAGTTATTTAAGTGCCGCTAAGCCTTTTTTTTTTATGGCGGCCATTGATTGTTTACATTTGAAACAGCAGACTAGTGGATTTGTTGCCAATCTAGAGAAACTTAGCTTCGCAACAACAAAGATAACGCCTTCATTTATTATTGCCAAATAAATCATGCTTAATCCTTTCTGGAATTTTTTTCGAGGAAATAAATGTTTAAGATTTACTTCGTAATTTTTAATATAGATATTTTGAGTTTTTATGTATTTTCGCCTTCTCGCGCAGTGAGAACTGAATTAATTGAATGAGAAATACTCAATCGTCTGTGAAAAACTGTTTCTTTTTTGTTTTATTTGCTTAATTTTTTATTTTTTTATACATATCATGCTATTATAGCTTATTATTTATTATAGTATTTGAATAGAACATGTGGCAACGGTTAGATAATTCTATTCTTTAAATGATATAAATTTTGAGCATTCTGAGTTATAATATGAACGAAATATAATGCTGTTAAGTGAACCTAGCGCCAGAGTGTCGCTATGGTAAAGTGAATTTTAAAGAATGCATTTATTCTATTGTGGTTTATGCTCTTTCGGCGAAGTAGATTTAATTCAATCCAATACATTTAAACGAAATGCAAGAAAAAATCCGTATAATTTAATATTCCGTACAAGGAAGACGTGGTGTACACATCAGATTTTCTAAATAATATTGATAAGAAGTTTTAATTTTATTAACGGTACTTGGGGATTAAATTTCTGTTTAACTCGTTTTTGTTATATCGTAAAATGTAGATTACAGTTAAATAAATATAAATGACAACCAAATAAATGTAACTAAAATTTGTTTAATAATAATGCTGCTAATTTCGCCGAAGATGAAACTTTTATGACAGTTTTGAAATATATAACATTACAGGCACTTCTAGCAAAATGTTTTATGGAGAGCGTTTCAGAATTAATACTCAAATTAATATTTATTAGCAAATATGTCGGTGTTTCCATCAAAATTTAATTTCTGAAACCAAAAGCTCAGAACTCTAAAAATACGCTGTCAGAGTATCGAACTGGAATAAATAAATAACAAACAGCATAATGGAAAAGATTCCAATATGAGAAATCAAGAAATAAATTATACGAATGAATAAAAGTAGTATATTAAGAAAAATAATTCCTAAAACTAAATTAAAAAATAAATGAAATAGAATGATGAAAAAAATTTTAATTATAAGATGTTACACGAAGGAAGAGAGAAATGAAAACATTTTGAATATCATTTCAAATTAGTTTAAAATTGTGTATTGTCACCAATCCTTTAATATCAACTCTGCTGCTAACATAAACTGTTGGACTAAATGTAACAACAAGGGTGCCATCTGGTGAGCAGCCAGAGAAGGACCTCAGTAAAAGCCAAGTATTTAACCTGATAGGTTGCATCAGACTCTTGCTCTGTAATTTTCTTAAAGTTAAATGTAATGTGCGTGTGTAACTTAAACCTGTTAATAAATAATTGCTACAGTATGAAGGACTCTTCTATAACCTTATCCAAAACGACCCCCTTATAGTATTTTTTTATTTTAACTTAGAGTTACGGAGAAAATATTTACTATAAAAAATATTACTGTGGGACTAAAATCGATCATCAAAATTATTAAGCATAAGAACATGAATTTCATTTAAAGTTGACTTTATGACTGGCAATGTAATCATCAATTCTCATCAAACTAGGAAATTCATTTGAATTTCATTATTGAATTCTTCTAAAAATCGCAATCGTTATGTATTATGACTTGAGAAAAATTAATTAAATTTAAAAAAAGAGAGAGAGCGTGAGATACTGAAATTCATTTCACAAAAGATTCATCTGCGCTTCATCTGAAAATTTTCAAATAATCTCTGCTATATTACAACAGTTTGAATAAGAACGATAAAATATGTTAAATTTTTCTGTTCTATGGCTTGCAAAATTTAATAAAATAAAATTCTTTGAAATGCTCTTGAATGAAAAGGAATTTTTCCCCTTATTAGAAAAGTTTCTGAAATTGTAAAACGACACAAATGTGTAGGTTGGCCACAAAAGTTTTAATTTCGATGCAAAGTAAATCTGAAAAAATTTAACTCGGAATACTAAATTATTTTTATGACTTTACGACTGGCAATGTTGACCTAAGCCAGTTTTCTTTTAAATCGTCTGTTGGTCTGGACCAGAGAGCATAGATCGTTAAATAGTTGTAATAAATTATTCCATTATTACAACATATGTAGTACTGTGCTCATAAAGCGCAAATCAAATCTACCAATTTTATCTTAATTACAATAAGCAATCTGAATGTCGTATATAAAGTAATAAAGTAATACTATGAACCGTTACAGAATTAAAATATAACCAATTATGAATTTATTCCGAAAAGATATAGTTAAGAATTTGTGAAAATACAGTAGCAACTATTTTGAAGTGAAGATTATAAAGAAAACAAGTTTCTACAGGAAAGAGATGCCATTAATTTTAAAATTATCAGTTAATCAATGATAGTCATTGTCAATAAACGAAACGAAAGAGTGAAGAAATAAAAAATATTTTTCCGATTAATAGAAAACGCCACGAAAATTCATAAAATATGCCTCAATAAACCACCATTGAAAATCCATCGAATCTTAAAAAATAAATAAATAAGAAAAGTTCCAGGTTGTTTGATAGATCTTGCAACCCTCAGAAAAATCAAGTGGTATAGTTAGGTAAAATAACACATTTTTTTTCCTCTTGCAGGTTGATGAAAATGGCGTTTGTTCCATCTTTGAGCTCTCATGTTAGTATGGATGATTACTTACTCACTAGAAGGCGTCAGGTAATTAACACTTCCTTCTTAGAATTCATATCTCTTAGGTTTCAGAAACATCGAAATTCAGTAAAATAAAATTAATAGAAAAATATTTTTATAATTATCAGTAAAAGTTATCAGTAAATTTTCTCACCTCCTAAGAATTACCAGCAAATTCTGTCTACCATCCAAAATTATCATCAAATTCTATCTATCAGCAACAGAATTTTCCATTTTTATTGCATAGGGTTTTGACTGTTTAATATTAACTCCTTAAGCCCCTATTTGACTCACAAGTTAATCCTTCAGACTCTAGTAGACTGACGATTTATGGCTCCATCTGAAAAGGTATAACAAGGTATTATGAATGTTCTGAATAAAGCTTTTTATTTCAGCTTGAATTGAACAGAAAATTCAAATTGTGTGTACAGCTTCGCCACTTGCAGGTATGGGAACAACATAAAGTTGAATTTACAATTTAAAAAAGGGTCGGTAGCTTAACACTACACGAATGTAATAATATTAGTTAACGATACTCCTAGTTACTGGTGACGAAACATGGGTGAAACATGGGTGGCTGGCTATGCAGCGTTTTGATGACGACGCACAGCTGCAAGAAGAGGTAACGAAGTGGTTGAAGGCGCAGGCGGCCGAATTTTTCGACGAAGGAATTTCCAAGCTCGTACATCGCTACGATAAATGCCTTAATTTGTATGGTGACTATGTAGAAAAGTAGTATTTGAGTGTGGCTTTCATCTGTATATAATAAAATTTGTTTCCTATACTTTGTTTATTTTTTTTATTCCAAAACGTAATCTACTTTCTGGATAGCCAGTCAATATGTTTTATTCCGCGATCAGCCTGAAACTTTCATTGTGGTAACTTTTATAAACAAGAAGAGCAGTAGACAAAACAAAGACAGCCCTGTGCTTTGTTTTTGACGTGACAATGAATTTGCATTCATTTGCTGCTTTGTTCATCATTCCAGTAAATTGTCTGTTTCACATTAGGTTTAATAAACGTTAACAAATTAACAGTATTTTTAGTCGAGATTGTATTACAGATTGGTTGCCTTCCTATGTCTGTAATATATTGTACATTCGCAAATTGTTTTTTTTTTTTATTATTATTTATAAAACTAGGGGTGTTCAAGCCGGGACATTGCACAGTTTGCAAAGTAAAAGAGTAGATTTCAAGGAATGGAAACAACATTAATTTTTCATCACACTCCTTTCTTACCTCTATACACCTCTTCCGACATTTAACTAATCTTTAAATCTTCCGTATGGAAAGATACGAAAGGTGCATTGGAATCATTCTAAACAACCTGCTTCTTAGTTTGAGATTAAATTAATTTTTTTTCGCAGATATGACACTGGCGGTATGATATAATTATTTTTTGCTTTTCTTAGAGACTTAGCTTAAATTTGAATGTATTTAGCATGAGTAACAATCACTTATTAGATTCCTTTTTTTTTTTAGTCCAAAGGGGCTTCGTCCCTGAAGGACTATTGTTTTCGTTTTGGCATTTTGCGTCGGACTCATAAACGTCGGTTCACTTTTCAAACTGTTGCCACAAAATGTTAGAGTCCTGCATTATATTTGAAGAAATTAAATAATGAAAAATCTGCATAAATGATTGTCTATTTCTCGCATTGTGATGAAACAATGGTACATAGAGCCATCGAATTTTGAATGACGACATCCTACTGCGAATATGGGCATCTGAAATCCCAAATTTGGAATTTGTTTTATTATAGATTTTATATTTTGTAAAACGTTTAACGAATTTTTGAATTTAAAAGACTCCAGGGATTTCCAAAGCGAGCAAATGGCAACGTTTGTATAGAAAAAACACTACTTTTATCTCCAGCTCGCGAGACTGTGTATATCGGAAATTCTAAAGCATATGGCTTAATTTAACAATTATTTTGCGATATTGCTCTTGAATTAAGCTGAACAATCTTAAGCTGAATTTTATGGTTTAAGTGCAAAGAACATGATATTTAATAAATAAAGGTAACACTCAAAACGTTAAAAAAACGCCCCTTTGGACGTAATTTAAAATCTGAAACATTTCAGACTTTTTTTTTTTTTTTTTTTTTTTTTTTTCTTATTACTACACGGAAAGGGAGGGATACCCCGTGGATGTCTCTTTAAGGGAAACTGGCTCGTATCCACGTTACACATGGGGAAAAAACCAGGAAAACGCCCATGCAGCCATGCCCGTTCGCCGGGACTCGAACCCCAGACCGAACTACCAGTATGCAGCGGCTTTTACCGCTCGGCCGCTGGTGGTTCATTAGATTGCATTGTAGTAGAATTTTTAAGAACAATTGTGATAATCAATTTTTCATGTTCAATAACTCAAATATTATGCAAATTCACAATATTTATTACTTGTATCATGTCTGTTGTTTGATGTCTAAAGAAATAACAATTTGCTTGTTATTAGTGAATAAAATAGCAGCTTTGCGGGTTAAAGACATAAGATTGCCGAATTAAAATTTTCGTAATCAGTGATAAATATCTACATGAAATATCTATTACATTATTCCCATCTAGATTTCTTTTCACCATGGACACACTAATATTGTTTTTATAACGCCAGTTATTTTCTCTCTCTCTCTCTCTTATTATGCACAATCATATATATATATATATATATATATATGATTGTGCATAATAAGAAATGAAGCAAATAATATTAACCAAATGCAAGGGGGCTATTTAAAGTTTCTTTTTAATATTATTATTGATTTATAGAATCATTCGGCGAAATACTTGTGACTGTTAACCACGAGCATGATATTCAGTCTTGTGACAAAAATTCTTTCATGAAAATGTAACGAAATTACTACTTGCATTACTTTGTAGCCATATATGACATTGCTCAATCTTTTGATATCTAAATCGATGACTAAGTTTAACTGGGTAATTATGATTTAAATTAAAGTATACATGAAATAAAAAATGAGGTTCTGAGAGCTCATGGATACGATATATCATATTCTGTAGAAAAGTTTTTTCTGTTATTAAAAAACGTTATTTAATGCAGTTTTATTTATTATATGAAATAATTCTAATGGTCTAAATCCTTTTCGAAAGAATTAAAATGCTTGATTTCTCTGACGGAGGAAACCTTATTGATGTGATACAGTTTCAATACTTTCTGATTAATAATCTCAATTCTAAATTTGAATTGATAATTATTATAAATCAAATGAATATAAAAATTAGCAGATATTTTTTCCTTCATATCTATTATACATTGCTTTCAATTAAAAAATCACAGCAACAAATATGAATCTTTTTTAACTTTATTTTTGAAACTCTGCCACATAATATTTTGTTTTATAATTAGTCTTAGAAGAGAAAATATTATCAAGCTACACGTATTTAAATACGTATAGCTTGATAAATTTACGTTACGTATAGATTTATTTATACGTATAGAAATAATTTACATTTTTACATTTTGCATTACATAATTTACATTTATTTAAATACGTATTTAAATAAATGTAAATTATGTATAGAATAATTTATTTAAATACGTATAGAAATTACGTTAAACTAATATTATTCTCTAAATGCCTACTTTACGTTACACCATTGTAATATTAAATAACATTTTTTTAAACGGAAAGTTTTAGTGAAAATAAACAAACATAGTTTTATCAGTAATTTTCTGAATAACATGATATGTTTTTAATTCGGGTGTTATTTAACTATTTCCAGCGCCGAAACAGGACGACATTTAACCCTCAGCAGCTGACAGAACTGGAAGTGCTGTTCGAGAAGACACACTATCCAGATGTGTTTCTCAGAGAAGAAGTGGCTAAAAAGATCAATCTATCTGAGGCGCGAGTACAGGTAAGATTAATTTCTTGTGCATGTTTTCTCCTCAAAGCTATGATGCTTGGGGAGAAACTTCTTCAAAACAATTCATAGTCTTTCCTTTAGATTCCAGCACAGAAGATGATATTAATATGTATACTTGTAACGTGAAACACGCGAGACCATCAAAATGTCTCCAAGAGAATCTTTTAAGAGAAATATGTTTGTTTTTTAAGTCCCACAAGCGTAAATTAATATTCAATCTGTTTTTGTTTTGTTTGTTTTTGTAGTACTCGCGGTTTTTTTTAATTCTTTCATTTTAATTTAAAGTGTCTTAATAATTCTCTTATAACTCAACTCATTTCGTTTTCTAATTATATTTTTCTACGTCCGGCAAAAGCACTCGAACTTCTTTCAGCACAGCTTTATTTTTTCTTTCTAACATAGTTAATGAAACTAACATAGTTAATTAATGAAAGTTAGTCAGCCGAAGTTCGAATCGTATGACTTTCCAGCAAAATATGCGATATGCAAACCAGGAATTTGAAGATAAAAGGAAGAATTCTGATGTGAAATTAACAGATATTAAACACAGTAGAAATAATCATTCTACCATAATACCTATTCTTAGCTGATATTTACAAGATGGCAAGTAAACATTCAGTGAAATGCAGTTCTAAGATAAAGAGTGTCCCGTATAGGAATAAGAAAACTGCATTGATTAAATACGAGATGATCAAGCCAAATATACTAATTTTTCGAAATGTCGTAGCGTGATATCTTAATTGAGTAAACTAACTAGTTTAATATTTGTTTTGAATTTTTCCTTTGCAAATCATTTCGTCATGTACTCATTAAGACCAGAGAATTATGCAGTTAATTCGCAAGAGATTTAGGACAAAGTGAAGGAAAGAATTCGTAACCGTATGAGCTGCAATTTACGTTTGGCTGCGAGAAATGCCTTCCCTGCTTCCTGATATTTAGTGAAAGCCTCTGCTCTAGGGGATTAGAATTACTAACCGTTAGATTAGGTGGTAAGTTTAATTTTGATATAGATTTTAGTTATTTGATCTAGAACTTGTAGCCTTGATTGTAAACAGTTATAGTGTAACCCAGTCCATCAATCTATACAAGGCCAGATGTGGTGTCCTCTTTATTATGGAGGCACCTAATTAGGTAGGCCACCATCGCCTCCTATGAAGGGACGGACGGTTACAACCATGTCTTCTCCGGGATTCGAAAGCAGGCCCTTCGGTATCGCAGTCAGCTTTCCTAACCCCTGTAGCGACTGGGCGGCGTGCTTTCAAAATTTAGTTTAGCTGTTAGTGACAATTCATTTCATAGCTTTTAGGTAACATTGAAGGATAGGAGTTGAAGTTCAAATAGTTAGTAGTTAAAATAAAGCCCTCAGTTACTTTAAGAGTAACAGCGATTCATTGCCTTTGAAAAAAAAATTGCAGTTTCAGTTAAATGATAGAATCATATATAAAATGCAACTTCATTTAACTTAAATTATTAAGAATGAAATAGTTGACTTTTATGATTGAAATGCCAAAAGAACCAAAATTTCACGTTGAACATGACACAAATAGGTAGATATCGAAAGCAACAATTTCGAATTTTAAAACAGCACGAATAGCATGGATATGTTGATAGCAATCAAAATTGCACAACGTTTCCAAAAAAATAAGCGAAAAGTCATAAAAATGAATAAATGCTAAAAGTTCATCTAGAAACCGATTCGATATTTTGTTCGAATATTGAATATATTAAAACCAATTCTTTGTCAAATTGAAGATCTGGATTTAAAATCTTATACCAAAAGGACAGCTGAAAAATATACAAAAGGTCAAGAAATTCGAGATAAAAATTGCCTTAAAATCGTAAGGTATTTTCTCCTGCATTACCGCTTGTCTATGGGGTGTAACTGGAAAGTGCATTCGGCTAATAATCGGAAGACAAGGTGGTGGAGTCTCAGCTAAAGGCACTGTTTGTTCATTTTTCACAGTGCTTCAAAATAATTCTAATGGTCCCTACGGAATTTATAAGCAGTCAGTTCCATCCGGAAGTAGACGAAAACTTATCATGGATCACGAATCGCATTTTGTTTGATTTTCATCTCAGTGGATGCATTAAATATTATTATTAAACATTCTTAACTCTGTTGTTATGCACTTTGGGATAAAGAAAATTTCGCAAGGAAAGTTGCTGTGTGACATACCATAGATGAAGAGAACAATATTTTCAAATTAGTCTTTTTCTGAGAACTACAAATGATTTCGCTTAAGTCAATTCAACAAAAATGATTAATGCTTTTTATCAAATGAACAAAAATGATTAATGCCTTTTATCAAAAAAAATGATTAATTTGACCAAAATGAAGATATTTATTTGGGTCGGACTCAGCTACTAGCTATTTTGCATTATACGAAAGACATTGTCAACTATTTGAAATACCGTAAATTTGATTTATCATCTTAAGCGAGAAATGTCCAAGATTGTCCTCAAGATGGAAATATAAAAAGATATGGAGGCATTAATTACTCAGAGCAACTACTGCAGTGAAAATAAAAGAGCCAAAAACTCTGATTCAAGAGATGTTACTTTCGACAATAAAAATCAAATTTGGAAGAAGCAGAACATGCATGAACTGCATGAAGAGGCCGCCCAGACGGTATAGTGGTTAGGGGAGCTTGACTGCGATACCGAAGGGCCTGGCTCGAATCCCAGAGAAGACATGTTTAAATTGTCTGCCCCTTCATAGGAGGCGAAGATGGCCTACCCAATGGGTGCCTCCATAATAAACAGACCAGCACATCTGGCTTTAGATGTGGCCAATGCCGGCATAGGCAAGCGCCCGCCATTGGAAATGTGCATGAAGAGAGCCAGAATACATCTTCGTAAAAAAGAAAGTCAAAAAGAAATTTACGCAGCAATTTGAGTGAGTACATCGAAGCATAGCTGATTGAATAATAACTTGATGTAAGTTTTAATTTAAAATTAATTAAAATAACTTTAAAAAACTCAGATTTGTGTCATTCGGACCTGGAAGGCTTTAAACTAAGCTATCTCTTATACATTGCGAATTGGTAGTTAAATAATCTAGAAACTAGAGATGACGCCTTCTGACTCAGGTACAGACTTTCTAGAATTATATTTTAAGAGCTATATCAAAATATAAAGCGCACATCAGCTCTTGAAGTAAAGGCCATTATATTCAACGATCTTAAACAATGGCCAACCTTTGAATTTGGAGGTAAAGAATTTCTGGATCCTGGCTTAATAGATTTTCGTTTGGTGCTTAAAATAATATCTTCGATGTAGGAAATGATCCTTAGATCTGAAAATGTACTAGTCACCGAGAGCCAGGTCAGAACTACAAGCTGGGTGAAAGGAAAATTTCAAGTTTTTGCTTGAAATGAACCTGAAGTGTTTGGGGGAAAATTCTCATGCTGCAGGAAAAGTCATCCTCAGCTGACCAAAGTTGGATTCTTTTCAGAGAAAGCAGCATACATTCACTGTAGTTTCGCAGAGTGAACCCATAGTTACTTGGAACAAATTCGGGACATACCAAGCCAGCTCAATTTCACCAAATGCATGTCGTCGTCGATGGTTGCCCATCTGACGAATTGCTGTGGTTCTCTAACTAGGGTCCAAACACTAGGTTTCCTGCCTTCATATGGTAGAAGATCCACCTTCTTCTATTTTAAATTGTTGTGCATCGGAGGAGCAAACATTGCTGGGGTTTCAGTAGAGGTTGACAACCTGTCTCCACATGTGCTGCGCTATAACAAAGTTAAATCATGCTTTGCGACCCGCCAGCTTTTGTTGATCTTCTGAAACACGTAAAGATGATGCACACTATTAGATTGTATTGAGTTTTGCTGAGAATTCATGAATGCTAGTAGAATTGATTCTTAACTAACAATACTTGTTCTGCCTGAATGGCGTCGAGTATTGTTAGTTAAGAATCAGTTTTTCTACTATCATCTATCTTCAGATTGCTAGACATTAATTTAGAGAGCAAACTTTTTTAGAAATGTTGTAGAGTCATTAGGCTATTTTGAAGAAGGCGGCATCAAAAATGAGTAATGTCCTTGCCGGGACTCGAACTTGGACCTCTTAAATACGTCCCAAGTGTGCTAATCATTACACCACGAAAGCGTGGTGTGATAGTTAGCACACTTGGGCGTTTTAAAGGGCTTTTTTTTTCTATTTGCCCTTTTTAAAGATCGATTGGGAATTAGGAGACCCAGTCGCCAGTCATCCTCCACCCTTTAGTTCGGGCGCAACTGTATAGTCATTATGATTTTTGAAACACGAAAAATAAGCAATGCTCTCGCCAGGACTCAAACTTGGATCTCTCGACTACGCGCCGATTGTGCTACCCTTTCACCACAAAGGTATGCTGGAAGGAGGGAGAAAATACTTCATAATGTAAGCTGCTCTTATCTCAGAGTTCAAAATGGTATAATGTTTTTCGCATTCCTAAGTACTGAGCTGAAAGATCATCTCTTATTAATGTCCTTTTTTAAATCTTATACAATTAAACCTATCATATTACATAAAATGTTTTATTTATTTGATACAGTATAATACTTGAAACAAATTTGTATCACTGCAGTTAAAAATACCATTGCGTATTAAGTCTGAGGATTATTCTGAAAATTCTTGAAAATTTGTTCAAAAATAGTTAAATATTGAATAAATTTTCTCTCCCTAAAGACTGGATATATCTTTTATACTTTCAAGCTACCTGCTAAATACTGCTTTATAAGGTATTTCTCCCGCTTTCCTAGCGTGACTTCGTGGTGTAGTGGTCAGCACACTCAGCCGGTATTTCAGAGGTCCGTGGTTTGATTCCCGGCGAAGGTGATTGCTAATTTTTCATCTCTCTAGCTTCCAAAAATTCTAATGTCTCTACAGCCTTTTAGTCTTACTTTTGAATATTGCCTACAGATTCCTTGCATGAAGCTTTCAGGTGAGTCAAATTTCTATTCTTAATCATTTTCCTGGACTTAAAAAAAAGGCTGCAT